TTCGCGTATCGTAGACTCATTTAAAGCTAGTCTAGACTGAACGCCCGTCGTGAGCGTACTACGTTATTAGGCGAGTTTTGAAACAGTGGATATGTGAAAACATTTATCAGCTATTTTGTCCACTGCAATAGTCTTCGGAAAACGACGTACAAACCAGTAACTAGTTAGATAATATATGTATATGTATATTGTAATTTTAAGCTATCAAATAAGTTAAAAGAATTTTATTGTTATATATTTAAACTGCATGTCTTTAAGCTCTAAGACAAACCGCTAACTAGTAAAGTTAAATACAAAGTGAGTTGTTATAGACACTTAATCCCAATTGGTTTTCTACAAATTGATTGTAAATTAAATAATTTAATATTTATGTATAGTACACTGATAAAATACAGCAATTTTTAATGCATTTTATATCCGAGACTTCTATTCCCCGTGACACTTTAGAGAGATCTTGAACGGATCTAATAAATATTTAAGCGAGACTATTTTAACAGATATTAAAGTCTAGTTCCTTTTAATATTATCCAATTTCGTTCATCAAAATTATAAAAGTATTGTCATGCACATGCCACATTGAAAATAATTATGCAAATAAATCGAAAAAGAATTTGAAATGCAATATATCATTTAAAATGAAGAAAAAACATCTATTTTTCTATTTTTATACTTCAATATAAACAAGTATCAATGATTCATTAAATTTGATCAAATGTAGGTATATCATTATTCATTAGCTTATCAAAGCCCACTGCTGAGCAAAGGCCTGTTTCTCACATGAAGAAGGTTTGAACATTAATCACCACGCTTGCTCAAGGTGGGTTGGTGATTTCAAACTTATAATTGTGAAATTATAAGTCCAGGTTTCCTCACGATGTTTTCCTTCACATTGGTACTTGCCTGGATCGAACCCGCGCCCTCGAAAACGAGAGTCGGGCCCTTTAACCACCAGGCCACCACCGACTTTAAATGTAAACAACTTTATTAATAAAGCTACGTTGTTTTGTATTTTAATATTCATTGTATTTTAAGTATTCAAGATACAACAATGCCTAGATGGATTACTATGTGTCAAGCGAGCTAATCCCTCATCTCAGGACCCTCTCACGATCTCAATGTTCAATTATGTACACAAACATACATTAGCTTCCTGCCTTATTGGATTAACGCTAAATATTAATGTGTATACATTATATTGTTATCATTTAAATTAAACTAATATTTTTAGGATTATACTATGCGTGTTAAAAACTACATAAGTACTCCAGACGTTTCGGTTACTTTTCAGCAACCGTGATGTGAAACCATACGAGATGTGATGTCTTAGATCTCATTATATTGTAATCATTTTAATTATATAAAACGGCAACCGTGAATCAATCTTTGCTTTAATTCTGTTTATACTTTTGTGTTTTTAAATTGCTCTTAAATTAATACAATACTTATATTAATATTATTAAACATATACATACTATCATTTTTATTTTATAGTGCTGACCGCAAAATTACCTTTGTATAGATTTTTTTTTCAAAACTTGAAACCGAATAAAATTTCAACAAAAAAATAATAATTTATTTAATTTTTACGAAAGAATAAACTTTTTATTTTTGACTGTAGTGAAATTGGGTAAAATAATTTCGTATGTCATCAGCCTATTAACGCCCACTGCTGAGCATAGCCTCTTCTCACATGGAGAAGGTTTTGAGCATTAATCACCACGCTTGCTCAAGACGGGTTGGTGATTTCAAACTTATAATTGTGAAACTATAAGTCCAGGTTTCCTCACGATGTTTTCCTTCACCGTATGTCAGTGGTGTCTAAATACTCTCAGAAAGTACATATGACTCCGAAAAATCACATTGGTACTTGCCAGGTTTGAACCCGCGCCCTCGGCAACGAGAGGCGGACCCTTTAACCACTAGGCCACCACTGACTTCGTATAGGTATTTCTAATTTATAATTAATTTAAATATAAATATTTCTTTATCTTCTTTAAAAATTGATGTTACAAAAAGAATAATATTACGATATTATGAAAGGGAGAAATATTGGAAAAAATGTACAACTTAAATTCTTCAATACGTAAAAATTCACATGCACTCAAAATTATATTTGTAGGAGAATTTTTATTTAAATTCAACATTTTCTATATTTAGGTCATGTGCTAAAATTTTAAGATACGTATTAGTAGATTTTCTAACGTATTGATAAATATTCGATTTGCCGGCTACGGAAAACGAATTGCATTCAGTCACAACTCACTTATGTACTTCACTTGGCTAGTGAAGCACGTCCTTGGATACTGATGTTACGAATTGGCACAAATAACACTTGTTATACTTAGTGACATATTTTAATATAAATACTTAAAAAATATTATTAAAATTATGGACGCAATAGAAATTATAAGGATTTTAATTTTATTTTCATCTAAAAGTATAAACTAATGATAAAAAGTGTACATAACAAATACATTAAGTACTTTTATCATCTTTCTTGATTAATCAAAAAATTAATAACAATAAAATTAGTTAATTGACATATCATCGTACTTGCGACACAAAAATATCAGGCGTAAAACGACCATTTTAAGAGAACTGCACTAAGAAAGACGAACATTACTTAAAAAGTATTAGGTATTCTGTACACTACATGCATCCCGGGGAACGTTCCCAACACGCCTTATTGCGTCCCGTGTAAGCAAAAATTGTGAAATATTCAAAAATGAAAAATTACAGAAACAGAACATCTCTGAAATATCACGAGGATGACTGAGTTTTATAAAAATAATAACATTTTATATTACGAAATGTAAAAGAATCATTTTTAATATTGAACAAACATTAATCATGTGAATAATTTATTGCAATAAGTATTAATGTAACTCATTCAATGTTGAATATTTACAAACAAGATGTTTTTCCAATTTCCATATTCTATAATTTATATTTTGTTTATATAAAACCGATTACGTTTTAAAATCTATAGAACGCAATTAAGTATCAAAGTCACTTCGTTAAAATGATGAAACTTATAAATACGTAAGTATACGTTACCTTCGTTGATTAAATGATTGAGGTTTTGTTTCGACATATTTGATTTAAATATATGATCCTAACAGAATATTATTAAAGATTTCTCTATTTCAACTGCATGGATTTTAAACATAAAATTACAGAAAATAAATGTTTAAACTTAAGAAATATCATAGACTTAAAAACGATTATTTATATCTGTTGCTTACATGTTGTACCTATACTTTTGTTTTTGTTAAACTCTATTCAAATAATTTGAAATTCTATCGACCTTCTTACAAAGCCAGAGGCCCCAACTTGGTTTATACAAATGGAGCCTACAGAATCTCTGATAAATTTCAATAATATTTATTAGGGAGATTATTTTTAAGTCGACGGCAGCGATAATGGTAGAAAAATAGCAGATTGTGCATTAAATTGAATAAATTGAGCGAGAAACCGGCTCACGCAAATGAGATTGAGGATAAACGTTTAAAAAATTTTTCGTTTAATTTGAAATATCGCTCCGCGAGGCCTTTGATGGTTTTGTATATAATTTTTACTGTTAAAAACATTGGCTTACTTTAAGATATGTCTGCAAGGAATCCTATGGGGTAGTCATTATATGAAAATAAACCAAATATATGTTTAATAGAAAGACAAAAAATTAATTTTCATATTGATTTCGACTCTTGTTTCTTTTTCTTAAAGCAACATTTCTATACTTATATAATTCCTCTCTGATTTTGTCATTATTATATAGAACTTGCCTAAAAGCTCTCAATTTCATGTTAAATTAACATAAAACATGAAAATATTAAGATTTAATTTTAAGAATTTTCCCAAACTTTCGCCACATTAACCTCACTTCTGTAAACGGATCATTACTTAAAATTACCATTGACTTGTTCAAAACAAACCGTCTTTAAACGAACGGTTACTTTTAATACAAGTGTTAATAACAGCGACCTACTCTCAATCAAACGCCGCGTGTATTTCACTACTAGCAATGATTAGGGTATTCTTAACCTCATTAAATATTAATTACAAAATGAATTAATTAATAATGAACTGTTTTAATCATAAAAGTGAACAAAGAAGTGAACTCGTCGATAAAATTAAGGGATCTAATGTTGTAACAATATTTAAAGCACTATAATTTGAACGACTTCGTTACGAGTTTCAAGTGACTTTCGAGTCGATGGTAGTTACCGTTCGGGAAAATCATGTCGACTTTGTCATGTAAACGAGCGAGGTTACTAAGCATTGTCTCACTCAATTTTAAGGGTTCAAGCGCTTAACGGGTCTTAATTGTTTTAATAATTAGGACGAACTTTTATCTCTCGATGTCTATGTAATGAGTTTTAGCTGACTGAAAATTTTGTAGACTATACTATCTCGTATTACATTAAAAAGATTTGCTATTTAATAATCTGTGTAATTTTAACAGATTATCACCTCAATAATTATAATTCAATAATAATTCAAGAGTTTTTTAAACATAAATTCGTTTAATATATTTTCTACGATAATATCTTTGATACATAAACATAAAGGACTAGTTATTTTAAATTCAAATATCAAATATTCAACAAGAGCCTGTTAGAATAGAAAAGCAATATCAAAGCAGATATTAAGGAGTATCTACTCAAAAGGAAAGGAACATTAGCATATTTTGTTTGTGATGTTAATCAGTGCATCCTGTATAATGGTAACGAGGATTCTCTCTAACATCAATCATTTAAAAGAATCGTCTTGTATATAAATTTTTATTCACTATTTTAATATACATCACAGTTTAACGAAGAATAAATACGAGAAAAGCTTTGCTCTCTCAAGTTATAATACTATAGAAATAGAACATTATTATGATTAGAAATAACAGCCATAGTATCTTATTGCTAACATTTAAAGTAAATTAAATGTGAATTGTTGACTTATATCTATTTAAAACAATATAATACAATATAGTCTTAGGTTTCAAGTCACTTTACCCGTATTTTATAATCTTCTTTGATCATATCAGCGCCTTTTTCTCCAATCATCATAGTGGGTGCATTCGTATTTCCACTTGTGAGCAAGGGCATGACTGAAGCATCGACTACCCTCAAACCATCTATATCATATACTTTTAACCGTTCATCCACCACACCGTTTCTTCCCATCGCGCAGGATCCTACTGGATGTAATATTGATGTCGCTGAACTTATGACATAGCAGTACCAATATTCATACGTATTGTAAGGAATACCTTGACAACCTTCAACATCTAGTTTGACAAGTCTTCCGCCAACTTTCTTGTAGTAAGACGTTTCGGTAAATTGCATCATGAATTTAACTGCTTCCACGGCTAACATGACATCCTGTTTGTTCCTGAAATACCCTAATTCTATTATAGGATCGTCTAACGGATTAGTACTCCTTATTTTTACTTGACCTCTTGATAAAGGATGAAGAAGAACGAGTGAAGTGACGTCAATTTCGTTTAGTACATTGGCTTTACTGAACGATAAGCAATAATTTCTGTTGTAGTTTGTAATGGTACGGCAACCAAATAATACTCCCGGAGCAACGGTAGCCCCGGCATGGATATTGAATATTTGTATGTGAGGCTTTCCTACGGCAATGTTACGGCAAAAAGAACAGTTCAGCCTAAAAAATCCAGTTTGAATAGGAGTGGGATATGAATCTAATTCAGTAGTAATAAGAACGTTCTGAATGGCTGTTTGAAAACCCTTTTGGCCCGTAAATATGAGGGGAGTGAAGTTATGGTCCTGCAAATTCTTCCCCACTGGAAGATCTGCGAGCATCTTTATATTGTGCTTCTGCAACATTTCTTTAGGACCTATCCCCGAAAGCATTAATAATTTGGGAGTATCAATACTTCCAGCTGATACAATAACCTCCAGATTGGTAAAAACATTAATAATTTCCCCAGACTTCAATTGAACTTGAACACCATAAGCCTTCCTTGTGTTTGATTTTATTAAAACTTTTATTACTCTAGCGTATTTCGTTACAAAAAGATTTCGTCTATCTCTAAGTGGTCGCAAATATGCCTCTGCTGTACTGGATCGTCTGCCATTAGCAAATGTGAACTGTGGACGAGAAACGCCGAGTATTTCTGGTCCGTTTGTAGATAAAACTCTTTTCAATCCCATTTCTTCATATGAGTTTAGTACAGTTTCATCGACGTTTTCAAAGTATTGATTTTGCTTAGGCCTCGATACAGCCACGGGTCCGCGGGTTGAATATAAATATGAGGAGTTAGGATCTTCCAAAACGGTACGATCTGTCATATTTTCTAATTTCTTGTAGTAATATAGAACTGACTTCCAATCCCAACCTGGAGCTACTTTACTCCAATCATCAAAATCTTGGGGCGCTCCTCGAGCATATATTTCGTAGTTGTTTGATGAGCATCCTCCTAACATTTTCCCTCTAGACATATAGATGCTCCCTTCAACGTGACTCTGTCCCGTACCATTGTCCAGATCGGCTTTATAATTCCAGTCGTATTCCGTGTGAGCGAGAATCGCGAAAGTACTTGGCAACTGTAATATAGGATAGACAATATGTTATTACACTCTTGATTGATACAATGTTTTTTGAAGATAAATATTGAAATCATGCTAATGTATTATGGGTTTTATGTGTATCAAAAAAGAGTATAAAATTGAATGACATACCACGCTCGCCGGTGGTGGATCACCACCAGCTTCTAGCAGAAGAACCTTCCACTTGTTTATTTCACTGAGTCGTGCGGCCACAATCGCTCCGGCCGACCCAGCGCCAACCACGATGAAATCAAATGTATCACCATCTATTAGAGAGATTCTTTTCATTTAATAATAACATTTAATTATATTTATTACAAACTATATACCATTAAACACAACGACTCTCAGAACACATTTTTTTATAAAAGCACAGTAACACATATTTAATTTTTCTTTAACGAAGTAATTTTTTTTATTTTCTTAATATATTTTTAATAATTTTATCAAACTAGAACACGCTTAGCGTTAGATACAGATAAATTAGATGAACTTACACTTGAAAATGCCAATGTAGATCAAATAAATATGTTTTCATAATAATTTTATATTAAATTTGTATAGGCGGAAGAAGCTGGGCAAAGTTGTTAGTCTCTTTAAATTATAAAGTTCACTCAAAATACTATTTTTCTACACAAATTTAGTTTCTCTGATTTTTCGTTAGTTTGGTTCGAATATTTACTTAAGATGATAAATTTTAATACGAATATGATCAATTGCAATAAAAATCTGTAGACAAATAATTTTAAACTTACAATTAGTTTAATTTAAAACTCATCAATATTTTCGTGATAATTTAATCAACTTTAATCATATTTAATCCTTTTTACCTTATAAACTATAATATATATTTTTAAATTATAGTTTGTTTACTATGATAATAGAACAATTTAACTAAGTCGCTCAAGGTTGCTTTGGCTTTAAGAGCTCAAACAACAATCCATTTATAGGGCCTAAGGAAATCAGTTATTATTGATATTATATTGCTAACATTATTCATAATACCTTAACATAAAGTAAATTATAACAAATACATTATATTACAGAAAACTAGTTTTATAAAAGACAACAAAGACAGAAGAAAAAAATAACTTATAATATTCTAAATAAAGCATAATTTTGAATTAAATATCGCATCCAAATTAAAACTTATTGTAAATCCGAGAGCTATTTTCACAGACCATTATACTAGATAGGTATTATTTATTCATATAATTAGATATTATTATTAAAAAGTAGACATTTTTAACACGCTATTTACCTTTCAAATCATAAGACGCCGGCCATTCCAGGGGTGAGAGAGCCTGATATACGGACAGATATCTCAATAACCAATTCAACCACGGTAAATCTCTTACACTTTGTATAAAACTAAGGAAAGTGTTAGCAAATGTGTAAATAATTTCCATACTAGCAACCACTCCTCCACAAGTTATACTGGTACATATAAAAACGTTACTACGAACTCTGTTACGTATGAAGTATTTGTGCCGCTTTTTTTAAACAATTAAAAGAATTATTATTGACCGACTGAACCAATATACACGACGACTTAAAAATAAATAAATAAAAACACAGAGAATATTTAAAACGGAATGTGGAAACGGTTTATCATTAATGCCTAAATTAAATTAAACCTTGAATATATAGCGTCTATAATGATTGTAGGATTACAAAATATGTTCTAGTGACTTATTTTTCAAGGCATATATAGCTATTATATATCTTCGCTGACCTTACGATGTAGTACAAGGAAAGACTTTTACGGTGTTATGTTTCTTAATATCGAAACGACATATTAACCTGTCTTTATTAACTTTATATTATCGTCATATATTCTTTATACGAAACAAGTTTGTACTAAAGGGGGCAACGGAGCAGGCTGCCTACCTTATTGAGGTAGTACCGTCGCTCATAGACATCCGCAACATAAATTTGCAAATGTGTTGCCACCCTGATTGGAAAAAAGGTGGGAAAGGGAGGGAAAAGGGAAAGGTCAGGAAAGGATGTTAAAAGGAAAAGCGCAATCGGCTCTCACTCATCAGACGAAACGCAGAAGTTAACGTCGACTACTTCACGCCGATCTTCTGTGAGAGGGTACTTCCCCGGTCGAGCCAGCCCATGTTCGAGATGTTGTTACTTGACCACAGCTAGGCTCTAACACCTCAAAAAAAAGTAAACACGTTTCAGCAATTATAAATGTTTGCCTTTCCTATGAGTCAGTCTTTAAAAAAAAGAGTAATTGCTAATATGTTTTGCTTAAAATACGACAGTTCTTTACAACTTTTTAAAGGACACATAGTTGTATGGATTTGAATTGAACGAGACGAGATTTGGCCAGTCTTGGTCTTGTACTTGCATTTTTGCAAGACCGAAACCGCTTAATTTTAGCAGGACCAAGATTAAGACTGACTGCTCAAGATTTAAGCAAGGACAAGATTCTTGTTTCCTGCAGTTAGGATTGAGGGTAGTTTCAGGGAGTAAGTATAGAAAGGGAGTAAGTAAGTATAGTTCAGGGTACGTACGCTCTATGAGATGCAAAAAATCGTCAAAGATCGAGTACTGACCTCTCCCAGAAATTTTTAAGTTATTCGAAATAAATAGATGATGTTTTGAGCTTAATAGCTTATTTTGAGCTTAATCTATTTATAATAGATCAGGTTAAGGCCATTAATTTATTTTCTATATGGTAAACCATGTTTTAGTGAATTGAAGTTTTTAAATGTAAACGTTTATTAAGAAACATCGAAGAAGAGCAAGACCAAGACCGATTTTGGGCAACACTATTTTTGATAAATAAACATATTTTTATAAAGACAATTTATTATTACTGGCACTAAGTGTAATTTAGAAACTAAAAAATCATGATACTCAATTACCCAAACCGCAAAACTTTTTAATATACATTTATACATGTTGAAGCTTTAGTTAATTTCATTAAATCATTACAATGTAGTAAAATGATTGTAATTTTGTGGTTATAGGTATTTTATTGAGGACTTAATAACTTCATTAAAATATATATAAGAAAGTATAAAATACTTTTTCTCTCCATAAATAATAACTAGTATTAATGAAATAATTTTAGGCATTACTTATATACATAGAACTAACTGAAAATAATAAGAAGATTTTTTTATTTATCTACGAAGGTTTTAACTGTAACTATGATGTGTTAAATACTTAAATCTTCCGTGTATAAATTAAGCCACCTTCTTAAAAACGAAATCATTTTTATTTTATTTACATTGTTCTTAATAAAAGAAATAAATACCGTAACAAAACTAATTGTACTATTTATGAATTCATCAACGTAGAGTTCTTGATTTAACTTTGAAGGATAAAATATGTATGATAGAATCTTAAATTAATCAATAAGTAATGAAGAGAAGTTTTAAGAAAACTTTACTTACAAACATTAGTTTGTATAAAAAATTTTAGTTTCAGTAGACTAATGTTACCCTCTAAATAAAATCGTTCAAATATTAAAAATCTTCGTCCAAGATACAAAATACTAGATATGTATGTAGGTATATACATAAATTTGAGAAAGTATAATGTAACTAATGAATTAAAGATTTAGTGACAGACGACAGAAACCTTGCTGAGCTATTAATAATCTAATACTTTAGATTGTAATTATTCGTACAAACAAATAATTTTTAACTAATAATTATTATATTACAATATGTAAGCCGTTCATCTGCAAAGATGGAAATAAGGAATTACAATATTTCCAAAAAATTTATAATAGCAACACTTGGAGTAGAACTGTCAATATCAAGTATCGCAGATTGCTGTTATTTTAATTTGTTTTGTATTGTATACAAACTTAGTTTAAGTTCACAATTAATTTATTTTTACAAGAATTTGGACGAATAGATTTCTTTTTCTCATAATCATAAAATTATATTATAAATTTACTTTTCAATAAAAGTAATAATAGTGATGTGTATTGTATAAGTAAAGATTAAATAACCTTTTGAGATTGTTATAATATGAATTTATTCTAAAATCTCAATAGAAATTATAATTTAGTAAAGATGGACATAAATTTGGTAGAAGATACGGAAAAATTATCCCTTGAAAGGTAAAACTTATTGCCTGTTGTTGTTATCCTAAGAAAACAAAGCTTAATGTTCTTATTTTCAGTGAAGACAAAAAAATAACGAAACGCAAAGACTATATAGATTGGAGGGAATATTTTATGGCCACTGCATTCTTAGCTGCGAAACGAAGCAAAGATCCGAGTTATCAAGTTGGTGCTTGTATAGTGAACAAGGAAAATAAAATAGTTGGTGTTGGGTGAGTAACATTCTCCACATTATTTTCATCGAATCAATTTTGTAGAACCCTTGGTCCTCCATGTAAGAATAACTAGTCACTGACTCACTACTACCTCCACCTAGAGTGCAGGCATACATCACCGTTCTGCTTCATGCTAATGTGAGACTGCCGAGTGAATGCACATACGGCCCCCTCTACTGGGGTATGTGAGGCAGTGTATTATATCTATTGTATAGATACAAACACTACAAGTTTTTTCAGTCTTTCAACTATATTCTTCATACATATATTTAACACAGTGAAATATAATTTTCAGATATAATGGTATGCCAATTGGTTGTAGTGATGATGAATTTCCATGGGGAAAAGATACACTATCCAAATTAGATAGCAAATTTTTATATGGTAAGGAGTTAAGAAATAATATTTAACATTTTCAATTATATCAACCTGGCATTCAGGAGTTATGGTTGAAATGAACACATATTTTATGTCTCATAAAACAAATGTCTTGATTAGTCTTTAAGAGTGTTTTATCTAACGTAAAACACTTTTTGTCTGAGACTTCACCAAATTAATTTCTGAATTAGTTAGTTATTAGTAATTTATGTATAGCTGACTGGACAAACTCTAATTTGTCCTAGCGGCCATAAATAACCAGATTTTGGAATTTATTAAGTTCTTTTTTGATTAAGCAGAACTAAATATATATCCAGTTTCTGGTTCTAGGCTATCTCCCCACCAATTTCCAACCATATCCCTAAAGTCATTCTTGAGTTATAAATAATGTAACTAACACAACTTTCTTTTATACATTTAGATTATTGTAATTCCTAATTTAATCTGATAATATTTCCAGAAACAGTCTTAAATTGCCATCTATAATAAATATTGTTGTGTTATTTATTAGTAATAGATTAAAGTAATAACACTATCCCTAAGTTTCTCTATCCATTTGTTACAGTCCATTTAAATTTACAATACATCTCCTATATATATAAAAATGGATTGCTGTTCCTTAGTCTCGCTAAAACTCGAGAACAGCTGAACGGATTTATCTTATCTTAGTCTTGAAATGTTCGTGGAGGTTCAGGGAAGGTATATAAGATGAAAAAAATTGATTCATTACTGGGAAAACCATAAAAACAGCCCTTTTCTATTTCCCATACAAACGTTTTTTTTTGACATTAGATTTGACAACTAACTAATATGTCAATCATTCTGTCGCACTTCAAAACACGGAGATTTATGGCTTACAGGTAAACTCCAAAAATATAAATAAAAAAACGTAACACATATTTCTTGATTATAGTGCGATACGAAGTTCGCCAGGTCTTGTAGTATTTAGTAAAATTTTTAGGCCTAAACGTAGTACAAATGTAAAACACATTTTATTATTTGAGTAAAAAAAGTTTTTTGATCGGTTGTAATTTGATACCCAATCGTGTTTGAAGCTCTATACCTATTTAAAACATAGCAATTGAAAATCAAATGTATTAATCAAGGTCAATTACAAAGATACAGTGTATGTATAAACTATTTTAGTTGTAAACACTCAATTAAATTATTCACTTTTTATCTTGATAGGAACCATATGTATCATACGCACTTGAACAACTTGTATTGCGTGGAAAATATATTGAAGAACGTATAGAAACTATGTAATTATAGATATAATTCAGAGTCAGTGGTGGCCTAGTGGTTAAAAGGCCCGAATCTCATGCACGAGGGTGCGGGTTCGATCCTGGCCGTACCAATGTGATTTTTCCGAGTCATTTGTACTTTCTAAGAGTATTTAGACATCACTGATTAATGCATTCTCAAAGATTGTTGATGTCAGGCAGGCGGCCGGTCGTAAAAACAATTAGCCAAAACTGTTCACAACATGTAAGGCAGACCCTGGCTAAAGCTGGGATATTGCTAGGAAGAAGATAGCTCAATTAGTACAGATTATGGTTTGTCATTCCTGAGTCGTAGGTTCGATTCCTGTTGGTGTGTTTTTATATTAGTCCAAATAATATATTTGTATTATGTATATTCATTATTATATGTACGTCTTTATATACTACAGAAGCTTTTAATATCTTTTATTGTACTTATAAGTGGATATTATCAATATGATAAGTATATTATCTATACCAATTAAAAGCATATCTTCTAATATATAAAATTCTCGTGTCACAGTTTTCGTGCCCATACTCCTCCGAAACAACCTGACCGATTTTGATGAAATTTTTTGTGCTTATTCGGTAGCTATGAGAATCGGCCAACATCTATTTTTCATCCCCCTAAATGTTAGGGGTAGTCCACCCCTAAATTTTTTTTTTTTTATTTTTTAGACAAAATTTTTAATTACTATTTTTTTATGATACAACGTACAAAAATACATACAATCCTAAATTTTCACCCTTCTACGATCAACCCTTATTTTTTAATAGCTATTTTAGTAATTTAATCATTTTTCATCTCCGGTCGATAACTGATCAATCGTCATTTAATAAGTTATCCCCGCCAGATATCTACAGGTGTCACTTCTGACCCAGTAAACAGCACGGAGTAGGGATGAGAACGAAGCCGGTCTTCTGTTTCTCTCACACAATTAGACTTCTCTCACTCCCTACACAGTTGTCGGCCATCGTTATTGTTTGTGCATCAAGTGTAGTAGTAACGTTGACAATTATTATTTTGCTAGCTCAGTGTAACTCTCATATTAACTATTAATCATTCCTAATCACTTCAAAACACGGAGATTTATGGCTTTAATAGGTAAACTCCAAAAATATAAATAAAAAAACGTAACAGATATTTCTTGATTATAGGGCGAAACGAAGTTCGCCGGGTCTTCTAGTTTTTAATATTTATGTACAAGTATTTACTATAGAAAGTAATTTGTTATTAAGGATGTTTGTAATGACCATTTTATAAATTAAATATCACTAGAATTTGTGTAGAAACTGCATAACAATATGATTTATGTTCTGGTCAGCATTCTCATATTTATATTCAAACTGTTTTCATGCAACATTAATTTCAGTGTGTCATGCTGAAATGAATGCCATTCTGAATAAGAACTCAGCTGATGTTAAGGACTGCACTATTTATGTTGGATTATTTCCATGTAATGAATGTGCTAAAATGATTATACAGTCTGGTATAACTGAAGTTATATATTTTTCTGATGAAAAACGACACAAACCAAAGTACATAGCTTCAAAGAAGATGTTTAATGCTGCCGGTGTGAAGTATTGGTATGTATAAAGGAGGCGTCTTTAATATCTGTATATATTTTTTATGTATGACCATAATTCTTGAACTTCTTGACTAGTTTTAAATGAAAAATTATTCTTCCCCAGGCAATATATACCAAAGAATGACAAGATAGAAATAACTTTCTCTGGTGCAGCCTGGCAGAACATGAGTCCTTCAAAGTAATGAAGATGTACCCTTATTAATTATGACATTTGACGATTTAATAACAATCAATGTATCTGAGGATTAATTGAATGAAAGAGAAATATAAATAAATTTGTAAAATAAAATTTTATTACTCTATGTACAAGACAGGGTACAAAATACTCCAATCACACAAAACTGAACAAAAAAAAAACCGTCATCGCTTTAACTCAATGAAACATTTATATTAAGCAGGTGGTTTTGGATCAAGGAAAATTTTTAAAAGCTTTTATTCAAATAAAATTTTCTTAAGGTTGCTGCCGGTTCTGTAATTGATGATAAAAAGAAAATCACTGAAAAATTTTGGTATAGTCATATGATGATATTATTAAAAATTATTGTCCAAACTTTACAAATATCTACATAACAAAATCAATACAGCTGTTTCCGAGATTGTTAGACAAAACAATTATAAAACACACTCCTAGACCCCCATACAGTCAATAATTTTCAAGTCAAAAAGACTGGGATAATGGTTATTGTACAGTAAAAACTTAATAATACGAATTATTTACAAGCGCTACCTCAGTATAATCAATATTGCGTGAGGTAATACAATTCGTCATACATTTTACAAGATAAAAACCAGCTAATTGTTTTGAATTTTTAAATATAACATTTGATTATTGAACACAAGAGGCCTGGCATTGAAGTATGAAAGAATTGACAAATTCATATATTTTATTTCACTACAATTTGAAAACAAGACTAGAAGGAAAGAATTTATTGAGTTTTTGAAGCAGATATTTATATTCAAACAGAAAAAGACTTAGTCTAATGTTGAGGAACATGTTCGTGTTAAATTATTAAGAAACATGAAGGCTCATATAAATCCAATGTATGAGTATTGTCACATAGGATTTACTAAAACCAATTCTGTACACCACAACAAACAGTTTCCGTGTATTAAAAATATAAATAAAAAAAAAATACAAAAACATATGCTTGATACAATTTTGAATTTCAACAATACATTTCACTGAAACCAAATTCTATTACAATTTCCATCAATTGAGTTAGGTTTCATCCAATATATATTTCGTATATATAATAATCACATGAGCAATTTATTTCACAGAACCAAACTGACATATTGTATTTGTATGTTATGTATACTGTCTGTCCGTCCGTCTGTGTGTAACTGACCTAACACCATTACAAACCGGCCAAATTTGTGACGTGATATGACAATCAGCTGATCGTTCTGTCAAAGTGACGTTTACATAATGTTCGTCTGTTCGTCTTGGTTACAGTTGTCTAGTATTTCTTTGGGTTGCAGCGCGGTATCTTCGTGGTTCTCGTTAGCGGGTTTGAAAGCTAGCGCGTAAGGATACTTGGCTCTACACGCTTCTATGTATTGTTCTATTTCTTTTTCACAAGCACCGAAATCACCATCTTTTAGACTGTCTAGCACTTCCACACAACCCTGGAGGAAAAGATATATAAAATTTAATTACAACGTGAATTAATGAGATCTAAGATTTTTGCGAGTATTCATTTAAATGAAACTAATATTTTTCGGATGTACGAACCGAAACGTCGTATGTAGTTTTTGATAAAAATAAAAATCGCGTAGTACATCCGAAAAGTATTAGTTTCATTTATACAACATGAATTTTTTACACAAAACTAATTGAATGTCTGTCCTATGATATTATATCACAAAAATCCCATAGTTTCATAAATATAGATTAATTAAAATGTAGTAAACAATAATTAGTAGTAAAAAAAACTAAATTTTATTATCATATCTTGTTTTGTTTAGTACATAGTAAATAAAATTTAATACAACTAAATATATATAATAATGAAATGTTGTTGTCTTGATAAAATATTTTTTTCGATTATTCGAAGTAAACATTAGTCCCATGTCCAATACAACTACTAATTTGGATATGTGGATGAATACTTCTTATTAATTTAGTTTTTTTCTCTACTTTGACTATGTGTGTGTATATACATCTTTATATATATAATTCTTCTGTGAATGTGTATAACACTGAACTTCTCTCAAACGACTGGACCGATTTTAATGAAATTTTTTGTGTGTGTTCAAGGGGATCTGGGAATGGTTTAGATTCACAATTTTGTCAGCTGGACAATGTTTTTTAATTAATTTTTAATTTATTAGTAGTTGTTGATACGAATGGTTTTTTTTGACATTAGATTTGACAACTAACTAATATGTCAATCATTTTGTCGCACTTCAGAACACGTAGATTTATGGCTTTTATAGGTACACTCCAAAAATATAAATAAAAAAAAGTAACTGATATTTCTTGATTATAGGGCGATACGAAGTTCGCCGGGTCTTCTAGTACATATACAGGATGTATGAAAAACTGTGTCAACCCTTGAAGGCATGTATACATATAAGTATAAGCTTATTATAAAAAATAGTATAACTGAAAAAATATCAAGCAGAGGTCAGTTACAGTGCATAGGCTAAATAAGTTTTAAATCGACATTATTCGAAAAAATGTACCAAACATCTGACTCATACAAGGTCAAGACACCGTATAGTCGCAACGGCGCATGCGTGACCATTGACCGCAGGCGCCGGGCCGCACGCGTTATTATTACTATTCTGTTAGTTGTTCGAATAGAGATTTGAAAGTGTAAAAATTTGTTATATCGATAAATATTGTATCGACATTTTCAATATTGCTATAAATAGTTATGTTTTCACATTAAAATAACTTTTATTTATAATAAATATTATAATTTGAAACTTGTTCAGGTAAATTAACTACATATGTTGTATTATTAGGATTAATCGTTAATCTATTTCTGTTAAAAATGGTGTTTTACAATCAAACATAATAATAATGTTTGATATATCAAAATAAGTATCGAAATAATATGAATATTAAATATTTATTTTTTTGTTATGATTTTTTAAATATCGATATTTTCAATAATGTGAAAGTAACTTCAAGTTCGTCACTAGTAGCGCAGCAGCTGTGATGACGTCATTGCGTGTCATCGTGTTATACCAGGGCTTACAAACATTTTGTTACTCTACATATAATAATCATTTAATATTTAATTTTATTATTTTTATTGAAGAGTTTGTAAATGTAAGTTGTTTTATTGTGTTACATTATCGATACTGATAACGTAGTTAAGAGGGTTGACACAGTTTTTCTTACACCCTGTATATGTATGTGTGTATGTATGTGTGTATGTATGTATGTATGTGTATGTGTATGTTTGTATGTGTGTGTATGTGTATCACCTGTATGGACATCCCAGGCAGGTCTAGCCTAGTGGCTAACTGTAGAGCCTGCTCCGTACGTGAAGGTTGTACACGACACATGGCCCTCGCGCCCCACAGCGCTGCCCTCTGTGATCTGAACGGTCCACTTATGAACTCCTCGGCCATTGTTTGGGCACTTCTATCTCGGAACATCTGGAATGAATAATAATTGATATAGTTATGTTAAATAATATATTCTTCTTATTTGTCTGTCAAATAATTTAATTACAAGTATGTATTATAGCTAACAATTGTATGTGTTAGTTTTGAAGATATCTCTTCTAGTTACTATTAAAGATGAAAGAGATCATTTTTATTATGAACCAATCCTCATATATGTACAACTGATGTTTTATATTAGAATTACAATCTATCGTGTTTTAATTGTCATTTATTGTAACAGTTTCGAATCCAGATTGAACATATGAATATGTATTTCACTCTATATATTTGAATGCTAATTCATGTTTTTGAACTTACAATGACTAATCACAACTGACTTAAATCCATCTAATTCCTATATAGATTCTTATAATCAGATGGAACTATCTTCATAATAAGCCTGAACATATGTCGATTTCATTCTCTACATATAAATGAAACTAAGATCATAGATCTAATTACTTCTACATATATTGGAATGTTATATAAATGTTTTAGCTGAAGTTACAGTGACTATATTATGACTGAGTTAGATTGATCCATCTAATTCCTATACAGATTCTTATAATCAGATAGAACTATCTTCAAGATAAGCTTGAACATAACTTTCACTCTATACATATTTGAATATTAATTCCTGGTTAATTTGAAGTTATAATGACCATATCATGGTTTATCTCAATCTGCATAGGTTTCAGACCCATCCAAAACCTATGCAGATTCTTACAATAAGGTAGATAGTTATTCAAATCATATTTTCTATAGATGTATATAATAATAAGATAGATAGTTCTTCAAATCATTATATTTTCTATAGATGTATATAATAATGAGATAGATAGTTCTTCAAATCATGATATTTTCTATAGATGTAAAAAAACACAAACTCTCTCTTTTACTGAATCGTTGAAATGATTCGATGTCCACGATACAGGCCTAGCCTAGTGTGGACGTCAACGTTTTTATTGTAAAGTTTTTACAAATGTATAAATAAATGAAATAAATAAATGTATATAATAAGTGTATCTCACCGGTTGCATCTCAGTATCTATAACAGCGGCTACACTCTGTACTAATGAGTCGTGTTTCTCATCCAACCAACTCCTAAAACGAAGCAAACAGTCGTGTAGGTGTTCGTGTGATGGATCTAGTCTCCACGCGCGCTTGATGCTCTGCAGCATGAGCAGAGGTTTCTCTGGAATTATAATTGTATTTTATTTATTTATTTCTATTATATAATATAGTTTGTTTGATTTTATAGTTAGTTAATGTATTTATAAAATATGAGCGACGTAAAACAGAAAAATGAGGATTATTATTTGGGATATTTTAATATAAAAATGATAATATAGAAGAATGTGTTAAGCTGTTTGCTGTTAATATAAAATCGAGGTACGAATTAAAATCCATTAACTAGGTATATGGAATGAAACGGTTTATTGAAGTGAAACTTCTTATGTGACTTCCATGATGGTTGCGTTAAACGTTTAACTCTGCTGGGGAGGGGGAATAGAAATAGACGGAGCGAGAGTAAATGATTAAACGAGTTCACTGGTCACTTGTGAAATGTAAGACACCTTTATAAAGATTGTCTTAAGGAAACACAATTATTTATAAATCAATTACAGTAGAAACTCGATTATCCGGCCCTCAGTTATACGGATTCTCGATTATCCGGACTACGGACAAGTCCGGACAAGAAAGCACGACAAAGTATGAGAGTGGCGTACGTCAAATGACTACCAAATATTCTATACCAAATGAAACATTATTTTAATTCATGATTACCGAATGCAAATGACCAAATACATATTGTAATTTATTTGCAAATTGTATTGTAATGTATAGTAATTTATTGCAAATGACCAGATACATATTGTTATTATCATTATGAACTACATAAGCACAAAACCGGCTTTTCTTCATACATTCGATTATCCGGATTTTAGATTATAAGAATGCCTATCGACAAAAATTAGTCCGATTAATAGAGTTTCTACTGTACTACCACTTCCTGTATTATATTGATTAAATATTATTTTAATTACCTTTTCTGAAGTATATTTCGAAGGCCATGAGGTGTGTGTCTATTCTATCAGCGGCCAGAGTACGGAGAGGCTGCAGGAACTTGAGCGCCTGTTCCAAAGGATCCTCCGCCTGAATACATATATAACTAGTTAGACGACCCGACTTCGATCGACACACATACTCGTATGGTTGTATAATAAAAAAAGTATACACATATATGGGTATTTTTTTGTTGCTAAAATTTATATCCATTTATTTAATAAGATATAAGACTTTCGCGGTTATTCGTTTAAATAAAATGATTATTTTCGAATTACTACGCGTCATTTCATTATTTTAAAATAAGGTTTCATTTTAATGATTTATTTTATAAATCATTCGTCCTGAGATGATTTTCAAATAACAAGAAATCTTTAGTGTAAAATCACTTTATGTAGGGAAAATTGTCTCTAATATGGAGACACATTGCTTTGTTAAAGTTTTTGAACCATCACATCTACCTATAGGGGATCTTTAGCTTGTATCAATAGTAATTACATCAGTATGACATTTTTTTCGAAACTTTTCACTATCAATTAGTAATCAATGCGTTATTGCTATAAAATTACAGAGGCGTATTTAATAATTGTTGTCAAAATACCTCGTGTTTTCTTATAGACATATTTTGACACTTTTAAAGCAGAGAGAAATTAAAAGGTGATTTTGATTTTATACCGTTTCAATATTTCAGTATTTTTGACTTACCTTGTATGTAATATAAATGTTGTGATTACAGCTGTATATGTACACATATACACAGATTTTCCATGAATTTCGAGGTGTATAAACATATATATGTTTTTCTATACAAATATCCCTCGAATGCTTTATTTGTTATAACCATGAGATCTCTGACTATAGTTTCAACTGGTTCCTATCCTACTAATATGTAATTGCGAAAATTTGTTAGTGTGTGTGTGTGTGTTTGTTACTTCTTCGTGCTCAAACGGCTGAATCGATTTTGATAAAATTTTGTATACAGGAAGCTGATGTCCGGGAATAACACATAGGCTACTTTACATCCCGGAAATCCGCGGGTAACACCGCGGGGCGCAGCTAGTATGTATATAAGGTGTTTAAGTAAGTATTAATCATGACGAACCCTGGCGAGTTTGTCTGGTACCAATTCATCCAGTTGAGGAGCTTCAGGGTCGCCCTGCTCCTGCTGTTGCCGTGCTTTATGATGCTGTTCACGTTTCACCTGGAATTTTGATGTACACGTATTAATGAGATATAAAATTTTCGTGAATATTCATTGTAATGAAACTAATGTGTTCGGATTACTACTCGTTATTTTAATATTTTTGAAACTACATACTCTTTTTTTATTGTATTAAACTACATACATTTTTTTTATACTTCGCAGCAACCAACACAACAGGAGTTTGTAGTTTTAAAAATAATAAAATAACGTATATACATATTACTTGTTAAAAATACACCTTAAGTAAAATTGATAAATTTCATAGGAATTTCTTTGAATCTGTTTCTTCATATGAGTGTTTATTTTATTTAGGTATTTAATTTATTTGTCTCAGACATAGTCCATATTTTAATTTTAGTATAACATGGCAACCTTATAACTAATGTTAGTAAAGTTTTATTATTTTATAAGTTTTAGTTTATGCCAAGAAAAATATCTTTCATTACTATAGCAACAAATTGAATACGGAGAATAATTATTTTAACTGGACGTTTTAAAGTATGAAATGTTCATTTTGTCATGTTCCTTTCTATGGAATCTATTATCGACATCAAATGGAATCTATTATATATTGAAGTCATCTAATTATTTTGTTAGCAATAAACATATCGTAAGATCATTTTCTTTATATATTATATTACCTGAACTTGTGCCGCAAGCGCTATCTCCTGTTCGGCTTTACGTTTCGCTTTCCTCTGTTTATTCCTTAGTTTCTTGAGCTCTGAAGGCGCCAGATTTTCTAAAACAAAAAAAATATTATAAATAAATAATACTCTAATACGTAAACATTAAACAATATATATTCATACATATTGCTAATAATGTATTGCTAAATAGGTTCGTCGTTGATTTGTACGCGGTAGAGGTGAGAGCGAGAGGTATAACAGCGAAATCTCTCTATATACTAAAAGACTTGGGCCTGTCCAGAACTAACATTAATTCATTCTTGGAACGTGCATCGAAGGCAGCCCTAGTAGGTTCTTTTCAAATTTGGTTAGGTAGAGTGAGGAGCTTCGACAGTGGAGGTGAGCGTTTAAGGTGCGTTAGATAGGGGCCTCTTAAACCTACACTTGGGTTGCAAGTCCCAGGCACTGTTGAAGCTCCTCTCCCTGCAACGCGATGGACCTTGCACGGTGAATCCATTGAATGCTAAGAGGTTTCGTTTCTGTATTATATCAATTTTGTAGCCAACAACGCTATGGCAGCTACATTTGTATGATATTTGAACAGTTTTCCTCGCAACAGAGATTCTTACACAATCGTATCGCCTATCAAAGAAATAAATTGAAATAATTATGTAAAAAAATAGCGTAAAAATGAATCATAAATCCAATACAACAGGTCTGGCGACGATTACATGCTATAATTATATACAATTTGCATTTCAATTATACAGTACCTAATATGTATAAGACGAGGTGAGTTTTTAATGTTTCACAAGTCAACCGTTATCATAACAGGGACTGAAGTATAAATAGTGTTGATGTAACTAACACATTTATATGAAGGACTTATAATAGAATATATATTACTAGCTTTCCGCCCGAAGCTTCGCCCGCGTAGAGTTCGGTTATATCGCGTTTCCAAAAGAACCTTTCAAAAGTCTGGGATAAAAACTTTCCTATGTTCTTTCTCAAGGTCAAATCCGTCTCTGTACCAAATCTCATTAAAATTAGTTGAGTGGTTTAGGCGTCCAAGCGTAACAAACAGACAGACAGAGTTACTTTCGCATTTATAATAATAGTAAGGATAACGCGGTTTTATGAGAACTAAATATAAAAACAAATGACAATCTCAAACGCAATTCAGTTATAGGTATTTTATGTGTTAAAATGATTGTATATGTACATCCAATGACATCATACAGAGACCGATACTTCATCTTATTGTAAGTAGAGCGACAGATGGTTACTACATAACAGAACGCCGCTTAGTATAGATAACATTGAGGACTTGTAATGCATATTGATTTCTAAGATATACATACACATGTAAATACTCGAACACTTATGTAAAAATAAAAGAATTTTATGAGTTACTATGTATAGAATAAAGCTATTAAAAAACAAAGTAAATCTTTATAACACTTTGTGTTGCGATTTATTTGCGTTGTATAAAATAATAATATAATTATTAAGGTCATAGGTTAGACCTCAAAATTCTCAATAAGTCTACAAGCGCTGCGCCAGCGCATGTTTTGCAAAACAATACCCCGTTCTTAGTTTCATTAAGGTCACTGACCATTGTGGTATCGAAGGCATTAGGCTTGAAAAGGAATGCTTTGTATATACTTTATTAAAATAATTACAAAATCCTTTGTGGTCCTAATAATATAATATTATTAGTGTTTATTTATTTATGATTTAATAAAGTGAGACAAAGAAAAGAGTAAATATACCATATTGTATGAAAACAGATTTTTTTATATAAAAAAATATATATACTGTTTTTACTTTAGAAGCTTTAGTACATCTCACTTAACCCAAGTTTGCTCTCTTTACCTGAACACCGAGATTTTTATTTATTTCTTGATTCTTAAACACTCACGATGCATTCGTACGTACGATTAACTATATGATGAAATTCCGTACTAAGGGTTATACGCTTTCGTAACACATCGATACCCACGCGGGCTATTTATCTGCTACAGTGGGTATACAATCATAGGATAATTTCATAGTCATATAGCTTGCTTGTCACGCACGGAGTGCTGCTAGATATGTATGTATAATGCTTCATAGGATGCTGGATGGAAATTAAAGACATGAGGTCAAAGGTCAAATATCATGTGAGAAAAGGAATAGGTTTGTTTTGGGACTTTTAGATCGTATTAAACAAATAACTCAGCATTTTCTATGGATGGAAATATGTTTTTTACTTATCATCTACAAAAAACTTAATTGGTTTCAATGATACTATCATTATATATGGGCTATACTTATTGACGAAATTAGTTGTTGTTCTCACGGAACCACGACATGTATGTTATATTTTATTACAAGTCACACACATCATACAATAGATGGCGCTGCCCACGAGTTAATTTATTTACTCGATCACATATAATTCCCTTCTCTCTGAACCCATGTAAAAAGTTCATGTGAACAAAACGTCACTAGTGTAAATTTATTATGGAATTGTGTACAAATGTATAATTTAATTTTCATAGTCGTCATTAGCCTATCAGAGCCCACTGATGAGCAAAGGCCTCTTCTCACACGGAGGAGATTTATTTTCATATACATAGAATCGATTATATTTCTAATAAAAATAATTATAACATTTCAACTAAAGGACAAATTCAACTAAATAAATGTCTGTACTACATAAAACGTAGAACGACATTAAGAACAGGGTCAATGAAATCACTAAATCCAAAGAAATAGTCCAATCTGAACTAATTGCGTAACACTTGTTAAGTATTTGGTGACACGAGCTCTAAATAAAACTGAATTTTGCATTGACTTGGTCGTTTCCCATAGATTATATAATACTGGTTTTAAATGTCCAAACAATAGTGAGATATAATAAGAATATTTTTATAGACTAATAATAAAATACAGATATTTGCTTCATGAATGAATATATAATATATCTTTTATATATCATAAATTAATAGACATAGCCTTACACGACCAGTTGTAGACATACGTAAAATTTTTACTAGAAAGAAAAATTTAAAATATCCTTTGAATGCTTTGATTAAATGTTATAGGAAATAAAGTAATTAAGGCTGATAATTAATAAATTACAACTATACTTATGTAACCAGTAATCGATTTCTGTTGATTGTAACTATTTTTATTCTAAAATTGGGGTTTGACCCTTTGTTGTCAAAGTTAATTGCATTCTTTGACAAACATACGAAATCGCATACTAGCGTTTTCTGGAATATTTATTGTTGAATATTTATAAAACATTGCCTAGCCAAAGATGTTTGAATAAAAATTCTATATTTAATGATTATGTTGAACAGAGCAAAATACTGAAAAGATTTAAATAATCAAAATTATTTACATGTTTGGTTAAGAAAAAATGGTGACAAATAAAAAAATATATACTGTGCTAAAAAATATATCATTGCAAGGAGATATAAATATATGTAGTAAATTTTATTCTAAATACATTATAATATAAAAAATAAATTAAAAACTAATTCAAAATAACAATAGTCACATTATTAGAACATGCAGACCACAAATAGCTGTTCTGATTCAAAGATTTCGCAAATTATTATGAAACATGACGGCGGCGAATATAGAGCGAATAACAAAAATAACATTGAAATAATAATATTTGGGCGTTATAAATAATAATAGAAAAATAATCAAGTTTAAATACCACCCAGAATTGAATAGTAATATAATATTTTGAGATTAATGCAATTTCAACGTCTGTTTCCACTCTTTAAAATATTCACACTGTATACTAATTTGAGAATTCATTCAATCATGCGCAAAAAATAACATAAGAAAACATTAATGCAGTCAAAACGAGGACCTTCTCAAATTAACGACGTCCTTTAAAATCACGACGAGGTCTTATTAAACGAAATATGTAAACACTCAATGAACTTGAATGATATTTATTGATATTACAAAACGGGCAGACGATAACAATAATACCGATTTAATTTGAACATTTAACATTTATAATGTTATACATAGTAAGCAAATGTTCAAATATAAATCGGCTCGCCGCCGGGCCGGTGCAGTGCAGAGGTATTTGAAAAACGAGTTCGGAACAGAATTTCATTTACAATAGCCCTGACAACGCCCTGATGTCGCAATGTTCTAGTTAGGTTTAACGTTTACTCCGCGGGTAATAGAGTCAATGAGAAAGGCATCTAGATTACTCCTTGGGATTAAAGGACTTGTGAAAGATACACAGATAGACATTTTATGATACATTGCATGCATGCTTAGTTTTTTATTTTACATATATATATCCTTAGATTATACGAGAATGAATGTCTTGTCTGCCCGTGATCACGGTTGCTGAAAAGTTACAGAAACGTCGGGAATATGTAGTTTTTACAATAATAAAGTAAGCGTAGCATAATACATAAAATATTAGCTTCATTTAAATGAATACTCGCGAAAGTCTTAGAAATGATATTAATGTTTTTATTCCAAATTCTGCTATGTTACGATTTTATGTATACAATCAAGATCTGGCCCATCTATACGTACTGGCATAATATATTATCATCCTCAATACGTCCTCATATCTCACTGAATACAGAATGAAACTTTCATTAGCAACAAAGAAATCTGTATTCTATGTCTCGAACATATTTAGTTTAAGGCCGGCGAATTGTATAAAAAAACTACATAACATCAAAAACCAGCCGACGTACAGTCACGGACGCAAGTCAACAGTGACAAAGAAAAAAACATTCCCACCACCGGCTGCCCCAGATATCCATCAGATAGACTTACGAAATAACGACACGTAGGGGCTGTGTCAGCGGATTCATATGTAGGGTTGGGACAATAGTATCGATAAAAAACACTTCGTAATATTAAAAGAAAAGTAGATCTAACAAAATTAAACGATGAAATAAATTGAAACGTTAACCTGTTTGGATAGTAAATTGAAAGACAAAAAATAGTAAAACATATTTTTTTTAAGAATAAACAGACACTTCAAAAGACGTTAATAACTTTATGTAACTTTAAATTTCTATCGATATTCTCTTTAGTCTATACAAACAACACTACAGACAGCACGATTGCGCCATGCGCACGCGCTTACCGATTATTCAAGCACCATCTGTGCCTACTGCACCAAATTTGATTACACTTCCATGCACTACACAATAGTTACATAACATATGTATGTCTGTCTGCCGTAACAGTGCATATCGGAAACAACTCGACCAATACATAAATCATTCAATAATAATAGTTTTGATGTTATATAAAAAGACGATT